GCTTTATCATCAATAAAAATAATAGATAGATTAGTAGTAGCAAAAATAATCTTCAGTCTAGGCAATTTAAAGCTTCGTAGATTATAAGATATCGGAGAATTCACAGAGAAAATTTCATAATCTAATGATTATGTGTTTGATATTCCAGATTTTATTAGATTTATTTCTACCATCACTAATCCATCTGAAATAATATTTATTGTATATATTACTTTAGTAGACCAGGTGTAAGATTTTGTGTCAAATATTTGAATCTGTATTTTTATATTTTTAAAACAAAACTTTAAAATAAATATTTGAAAATTATAAATGTATAATATTAATATCATCTTGTACTATACCTGAGCCATATTAATAAGACTTACACTTGAAGTTAAACCACCACACCCACCAATATAAACAATAAAACTATTTAGTAATAATATAGCAGTATAGCCGGCATTAGTAAAAGCAGTCTGAAGCTGAGTTTGTATTGACCAAGTCATAGTAGTGATATCAAGTATATTCATATCATTATAAAAAATGAAATTAGAGTGATTCATTCCACCAAAAACAAAAATCTTCCTGTTATTATCAATAACAGCTTGTATTTTATTACGAGTTGCAAAGCTAGAATTAAAATTATTAATATTTGGAATTGTCCATTATGAAATCTTAGAATTAAATTCATATACTGGTAATATATATAAATAATATTCTGTAGTAGTTGAAATAACTATGTATATCCTTTCTCTGACTAAAAAAACTGTAGAATTATCAATAGAACTAAGGCATGAACTACCAAAACTATATCTTACTGGCATTGCAACATCACTATGCTATAGAGGTGTAGAAATATTAAATGAATTCGATAAATCAAGATACCAAATATCATTAGATTGAATTAAAGAATTGCATTTACCAAAAAAATAAAGTCTAGCACCAACTAATATGCTAGTCTGTGAACGTCGAGAGACAGGTACATTTTGGCCAATAACAAAAAAATATACTAAGCTAAATATAACAAAACAATGAATATAATAAGACAATTTCATGAATATACTTGGTGTTAATTTTTAATTAAAATTTATTGTATAGATACCACACAATTTGCTCTTGCGGCAAATAAAATAGCTGTGTGAAATTTGCTTGTAATTAACTATATCCATTATTTATTTATATTAAGTACAACATGCCATACTCGATCTTATCATACAGTACAGAGGAAATAGTTCTAATCTGAGTATGTACGAAAATACTTATTTCTACAAGTAATACAAACCAAAAAATGATGATACCAAAAAAATGATGCACTGAAATTTTTGTATACAGTAACCAGGTCATGTGTTATGTGACTAAAAAGTTTGTCTCATCATCACTAGTATCACTAGAGTCTTAAGAGTCACTAGAAACATAAGTGTATAATATATCATTAGCTATAGATATGCCTAAGAATGGCTCCGAAAATATTTTGGCGTGCCAAAAGTCATGCCAAAATCAAAGGTTATACTGAAAGTTGAAAGTCATACTGAAAATCAAAAGTCATACTGAAAGTCAAAAGTCCTACCGAAAGTTAAAACTCTCACCGAAATTTGAAAGTCTTACCGAAAGTCAAATCCTATTTTCACTCAAGTATACATGTTCATTTATTTTATTAAATGCTGTTTATTCTGTAAGTAAAGAACGTATATAGTCTTTTTCATTTATTATAATTTTAATATAAATAAAAAAATATTTAATCACATCTCTTAATTTTATTTATGATAAATAAATTTATATACTACAAATATATAATATAAAAATACAAAAATAAAGATAAACCATTTATACAGTTATACTCTCTACTGAGTTATATTCTAATCTAAGTTATATCCTCATATTTAAGCAAGATAAATTTTTTAATATATTTTTATATACTTTATATTTTAAATTATATCTTTATTTTTGTTATATTTCTACAAATGCTTTAGAAAAAAAGAAAGATATAATCCTACAATCTAATTTAAATTTTCTATTTCTATTTTCTAATATTAGAATTTTAGTTAATCAATGTATGACTAGCTAAACAAATAACTTCATATAAATTATAATAAATTATTATACTAATATATATTATATTCTGATATTCTAATCCTATCTATCACTTTATTTAAAATTCTATCTTCTTCAATACTTATCAATATTCTAAACAAAAACCTCTCTTTTCTAACCACTATATTTAAATTATTTCTCTTTCTTATTATAGTTTCTAATTCATATACTTGTAACTGATCTAATAAATAATTATTATTTAGTCAAGATTATTAGCAAAATCTTTTAATAAAACTAAAAAAATAAAACAATATAAAAATTTATAAAATAAAGTAAACATGATTTAATATAATTATATAAACAAAATCGAGTTACCAGAGTTAGCTTTATTGGTACAAAAAATAAAAATAAAACTAAAATATAGAATAAAAAGTAAAATATATAGTAATATGTAAATTATTTGTTTTTGAATATTTGACTTTCTACTTTTTGGCCTGGGAGATGATAAATTGGGTGAAATTATAACTGTTAATTCACTTTATCAGAATCAAATTCAACTGTGCTTTCTTCATTTAATAAAAGTTTACACATGTTGCATACAATCTTAGTTCTAAAACATTAATCATGTATGTACTAAATGATGTATATTTTCAATATTAGCATTTGATAGACTTAATGAAGATTGATGAGTTTTTGAATAAATAGCTTTTATATATGCCAGACCCCTTAATTAAATACCAGAATTCCATTACAGTACTACAAACACTGATATAAAGATTATTTAAATATACAATATTAGACAAAATTTGTGAATAACGGTAATTTGGCAAAACCAGAGCAAATAAACACGTGTCATGAAGCGGCACATGAGCCAATCATTTGCCTGGTTGAGCCAAATTATCATATTCCCAATATTGGTATTATCTGGCAATTTATGATCATGATTGGTAGGGAGTCATCGACTGAGTTTTAATTTGAATAAACATGATTATATCGTAACACATAAAAAAAATAACAAGACAAATAGCAATTCATAATCATAAGAGTTTGCCAGATAACATATTCTTATCGTTTACTGAAAACTAGTTATAATTTTTGATATCCATTGTTGCTTATTCTTAGAATTCAACAAACTTGTTTTAAGATATCTAATATTTACAGTTGATTTAAATTTCTGATTATATTATAATACAAAAATATTGTATTAAAAATAGCAAAAATTTATTATATTTATTAATAGTATACATTATTAAAGTTTTGTTATTCGATATATATACATCTAATTATGAGATCTTTTTATAAGAACCCTAACTGCTGAATAATATGATTTATAGTAGAACTCTAGTATCCTCTGTGCTCCACAATAATTAAAATAGTTCAGTCTAAACTGGTTTTTCAAATCTCATCTCAAAGTAATCACATATAAATAATCTAGAATAAATTATGCTTTTTTCGATCTATTCTCTATAAAATATATGATCAAAAATCAGTATGATAATTGATCTAAACTGATAAGTTAGAAATTATAATATAAACACATCAAAACTGCCGGCTGGTTGCCAGACATAGTTATTAACGGTTACTTTTACAAACAGAACAGTCACTAGCTGGTTGCTAGGCATGAGCATGTTCTGTTTGCACTTCTACCAAAACTGCTGGCTGGTTGCTAGACACAGTTTGATAGAGTTGCAAAGAGAGATTATACTGCCTTGTTGCTAGTATGAATTATCTCTACTTTGCATGTCTATGGGTTTATCACCGGCTAGTTGCCAGAAGTAATAGTCATAGGTCAGAAACCTAATTTTTGATATAATTGTAGTTTTGGATTCTAAAACATGTAATATTAAAAGTCCTAAGTGACTTCAATAAAATGGTGTATTAATATAGTATTTCTATTCTGTCTAACGAAATCAACAGAAGAAACCGTATCAAAAATAGAAACACGTTATAAAATTGATTTATAAATGTGAATAAGTAGACTAATCAAACCTGAAGCTTTTGTATTGTAATTTAATAATGTCATTTGAATCTACCAACATAATGTTCTAATTTATCTAGAGCAAATATATATAAGTAAAAAAAAATATAGACAAAGCAACCAGGTTGAGCAAGAAAAAAAGAATCTGTGATATGATTAGCTAATAATCATGAGACAATATATAAACTTTCATGTAACAGTTTGGGCATTGGGCGATTTACTTATTTGTGCGAGTAACACAAACCAAAAAAGGAATCAAATATTGTAAATAAACCAAGTATATAAAAATAAAATTTAGAATTAAGATGTTTAGAGTTGTAAGCTTTAGTGATAAGTTAGATTTTTTATATGTAAATTTCATCACCGTTATTTTTTATTAGTCAACCAAGGTCAATTTAAACACTAGTTTTGAGTATTTCTTCTTTTGCATGTGTTCAGATTCTACATCAGGCTGATCTGAAATATCCGAAATTTGTGTTCTCTGATTGGCCATTTCTTTTTTAGAGGTTTGTATTATTTGCACAAATAAGTGGATGCTAGTTTGGGTATACCCCAAACTTCTACAATGCGTAATTTCATTTAAGTCTAATAATCTGTCATGTCACGTTAATTATTTTACTAGAGTTTAATGGATAACCTCAAAAAACCACACTTAAAAAGTTCAAAGCTTTTTGATTACAAATGTTTGAACATTTTAGGCATACACAAATTCTTCACTGAAGAGTCGGCATCTAGTTGGTGTCTAGAAAGTTTTGTGAATAAATTTATAGATAAAGAAACAGAACTAAATTTTGAACAAATCCAAGAGCTTTTCCTAGCCAATTTGATCTATATTAGTAAACAAAGGAGTATTTGCGCTCCTATTCGTGTATTTTGTTTAAGTTATATTGAATAGATGCAGGTAACTATCTAGTTCTCTTGATTCATAATACCAACGGTATAATTTAATTTAAGGCTAATCCTGAGAAATATCAAAACGTGGAAGAGACAGGCCATTTCAAATGCATGTCATATGTTTTTTCAGAAATGCGCAATATTAGGGAACCATTTGAAGCAAAAATGCAAGCATAAAGAAATTGCTGAGGTGAGTTATTTATTCTTTTTTGGAATACATTTTTCTTTTTTTTCTGAAGTGATTATGATATTGCGCTTTTTACTAGAGCTTTGTTTCAAAAAATATGAAATACATGGCATTTCAAAACGCCTTTTAAAGACCTCAAAGAGAGACACGAGCTCAGACTCCCCGGTTTAGTCTTCACGATTTCAAACGCAAATAATACAAAATAAAAGGATGATAAAACATAAAAAAGTAAAATAGTGAGTTCGTGCTAAATATTATATTTGTCTCTATATATTTCATTTTAACAATTTTTTATTTTTAAGTATATTGAGTCAATCCCAATCGTGTGCGCATTTGGTATAGATATATCAGAATTGGAGAAGCTAGTAGGAAATGATTTAGTAGATGAGATATCCTCATATAAAAGTCGAATACCATCTGTTTGGACAAAAGGTTTAAAAAAATACTTTGAAAATGCACTAGATGTGAGTTTTCATATTTCATATAAGTTGTCCAATGATTATTACTAAATTGGCTTATGATATATGCAGAAAGTAGAAAAAAATTTCAAGTTAGCAATACAAGAAGAAATAGAGGGAAGTGAAGAAAACAAAAACAAATTTAGATTATATTGTAAAAAAGTATTAATGGAATTGTAGGTGTTAAGCTATTGTTGAACATAAAAAAAAGATCACGTATAACGATATATAACCTCTATATTTTTTTAGTTATAATTTAGCTGATGTTTTTTTGACACTTCTGAGAACAACCAAGGAGCAAAAATTCATTATATATCATATTTTGCCCTTGTTAATGTTCTACTTTTAGAACTTTGAAATTTGACTGGATGAAACATGCTTACGATCTGCAAAGATAATGAAGACATCAAATGATTCTGGAATTATATTAGTAGATATCAAAGGTATATACTACAGCACTAAGTCTAGTGGTTGTGATTATTATTGTAATTAACTGCTAATTATAGCTGCTGATTTTTAATACAAATACGGTATCAAAAGGAGTTTGTGTTAGTGATAACAAAGAAATCTGGCATATAGAAGTTTCAGGGCTACCAAGTAATCCTATAACTCATCATACTGCTGACAATACCAAAAAGATACTACATACTGACATATTGATTTTGATAAATATCTTGAGAAACCATCTTGACCTCGATGTGAATATAGTGAAAAAAATTAAAGTTTTTAGCATGCAGGTTATTGGTAGGGTTTTCGCTATATTGTTTAATATAAAGTCAAATTTAATTAAAGTTTTTAGCATGCAGGTTATTGGTAGGGTTTTCGCTATATTGTTTAATATAAAGTCAAATCTAATTATATTCTTCTTTATTATTATTAGCATATAGGTTAACATTATATACCATTAGCATGCTGGAGGATAGCCAATTTGTTGCATATGAGTTAGTATCAGCAGAATTGCTATTCGATTTTGATTTACAGTCAAAGTATATAGCAGTTATGCAGATGATAGCCATTTTTCATATAAGTAAAAGTGTAGATATACTTCGTAATTATTTGTATTATCTAAATATTTATCATCTTTTAGGATAAAGTAGTCCAGCAGAGAGCAATTATGAACAAAATTGATCATATTCTTATTCCTTGTAAAGACAAGAGTGTTCGTAGTATTTTGAGGATTCTAGAGAACTTGTAAGATTTGTGAGCTAGTGAATTTATTGATGATTTAGTACGTCATATAATAAATAAAATTTGCATGTTTTAAGTAATGCTCTTAATGAAATTGTATAAACTTTTTTAATCATATTTTAAACCTGGTAGAATATATTTATTTTATTTATTTGAAAATACATGTTAAATAAGCAAGACCATAGAAGACAATTTCTTTCTGCTATCCTATTTATTAACCTATTAACTGTATATATGCTTATACAAATATTGTGAGATTGGGGTGTTAGATACTAAATGATTTACTATTATAGGACAGCACTATATGATTGGCCTACTATTTAAGATTTTTAAATTTTGTTGATCAATTTAATAAAAAAATTTATAAAATGTTCTAATTCTCATTCTAGTAGAGCAAATTCAATTATATAACTTGTAAATGATATACTGTACTTTTAAAACTATGTTGAGATATTTTTTATTTCATTTTATTAATTTGGCTAAAATTACGAATTACCAAATTTTAACAATTATTTAAATAATTAAATTATAGAGAATTATATACTAAAATTTACATATTAATATTAAATATTGCAACATATAGGTCAGTATACAGCAAAACAAGGTTTTAGAGCCATTTTGATCAAGGTCAAGATTTTTACCAGATCATATTTCTAAATATGTGATTTATTCACAGTAAATTTTTTAGGGGAAATTACAAATAAGAACCCAAATTTGAAAATAATTACAAATAAGGGCCCAAAATAAAAATAATTACACCGATATTTGAAAATTATTACAAATAAGGGCCCAAAATAATTTTACGCTTAAAAACCTGTGATTGATGACTCGAATATAACATTAATATAGTCATCAATTATTAAGCACATAAGAAATGTAATAATGATAATCAATTAGTAATTCAAATATAAACTCAAATATACAATAAAAAGAGGCAGCCAGAACAGCCCCTCTAAAGTACCAGTAACGTAATCATGGCACAGCAACTGTATATATATATATTGCAATATTGAATTATGAACAATCGCTATCTAAAAAAAAAATGATCTACAATATATGGCTAGAAAAGTTGCATTAATTGATCTTATGTCACTGGCACTTTTGGGGGCCACCCTGGCTGCCTCCAATAAAAATATACTTCTAGTTTGTTCGATTCGTTAACTTGTATTCCAAAATTGTTTTTTATTCTCAAAGTTCTTGACATATCTGCTTATAACATTAAAGATCGGTATCAGGGCTTAAATTACTATAGTAATTTGCCAGCCTGCAGCTTATTGTTTAAAGTATTTTCTTGATTCATTAAAATTAATATATTATACATCTTATTGTTTACTATATCAGCCAATTAATTTCCAATATAATATAGATCAAGAATGATACTTTTGAATGGCCAGCATTTCAATATAGTTGTTTAAGCCCTGATCAGTATAACTTTTACTAATATGGAAAATGTTCGCTCGGCCCTAGACAGCTACTCTGTTGAATTCACTTCGGCATATAAATTTAGAACTAATAAACCAAATAAGCTGCTTGTTGTTTGTCCTATGAATAAAAATAGTTCATGCCTATTTACTATTTAGCTAACAAACAAAAAGATAGTTACATCCATATAGTATGGCTAATTCCTCACGATTCAACTTGTCCAACATCTGTGAAAGTATTCAAAGCACATAGATCATACCTTGTAAAGTTTACTGCGCTATTGGTCAAAGATATACCAGTTCTTTAACCCTGTGATATTATGAATCGTGTTCATTCTGAAGTGAAGCAAAGACATCATATATGGCAGCTTGGAGAAGTAAAGCCATTACTAAAAAAAGTGGTGTAGAGGAAATAAATCAGAGCTATCAACATATTAAGTCATTACTTCACAATTTGCTTATGGAAAACCCTGGAAGCATTACAGCGTTCGAAGTTGATGTTGAAAACTGATTCACCTGTGTATTTATGTGTTTATAACTGGAAAACCAGATTACCTGTGAAAAATATAATAAAAAAGGTTATAATACACGTAACATGTGTTCGAAGACACAAATAAGAAAGTTTGTACATAGTAATTATGTAATTGGACTTGCGTAGTTATATTATAATAAATTTGCAATTATTTTATTTAATTAATTAAAAAAAAAAGATATAACGATTACTCAAACATCTATTTAATCACGAGATTATATAAATCAGCTTTTTCAAATTTGGGCCCTTATTTG